ATGACAATTTCTTGTAAGCCCTGATAGACTTCACTTGTAGCTGAGTCCCATCTTACACCAGCTCTCCTCCTCACCCAGCCCCCCACCTCTTCCCTTAGCTTAATCAAAAAAGGAAGATACTAAACAGACCATAATTCTTAAGTGCTGCCTCACAGGAAACTACTCTCCCTTCTTCTGCAAAGGATAACTACGGAAATACATGCTGTTGTAAGAAAATGCAGCTGTACTGAGGGGTTTTGGGTTGTATCAACCCAAATAGCTTTTTTAACAGCAGCAGAAACGTTTCTCACTGTGCATAGGGTAGAATTTTCTCTCGCACGTTGATGGCTCCAGGAACTAGTTTGCCCTAAGTAGTTAGACTGCAACTAATACCAGTATACCTATACATAATTATGCAATCTACACCTCTTGTGTAGATATTCCCTAGATGAGATCTCCCTGACCAAACTACATAACATTTACTAGAAAAGTTTGCATTCGACAGCATTTTCTTTCAGAGTACAATCTTCTTAATGATTGTAGGACTGTTAGTAGAATAACACTGGTTTAGTTAAGCAGAAACAGGTTCAGGATTACTAGCTAAACATCAGTCAATATAGACACTGCTGAAAAAATGGAAAGGTGAGAGAAGCATAGCATATTTCATTTGGGAAATGTTCCATTAAATGCTTGAGTAGTATTTCACTCTATAAAGTCCTCGTGAGGCGTTAGACAGAACATTTAATCCAGTTTAGAGCACCATACTTCCAAGACAAATTGTTAGAGAGAGCTTGAAGGATTATAACAGAACAAAAGAGGATTTTGAAAACAGTTCTTTGGAAGTTGAAGAATCCAGGCTTTTTCAAAGTTGCAAAAGAGAACACCTTGGGAAGATATGTTAAGAATCTTTGACTGAATGCCATTAAGCTTCAAATAGTTTCCTTATTTAAAAGTGCATTTATATAAAGCAACATTTGCAGGACAGCATCTGATACACTTTGTTTAGCGTGGAACTACAAAAACATTTGCATCTTCTAGATAAAGTCCAACAGCTCCAAGGAGTTGTTAGATAAGCATTCATCCTCAGAAGCGTGACTGAAATAGCGGATATAATCTCCACAAAAGGGATTCAGAGTACTGAGTATTCAGAAAAGTTTCAGACTTCTTATAGTTATTGATCAAAAGATATGATCACATGAAGCTAAAATGGATAGAGAACAACTTTTATTTTAGAAGAGGTATGGATTAGTTCAGATCTTAATTTAAGCTTCAAAAAATAATTGCTTTGTGCTTACACACCTTTGCATACTAAAACTAGAAATACTTTTAACTTCATTTCACCCTGTATTTCAGATCATTGCAGTCTACAAAATACTTCCAATCTGATATTTGACCCCCTCTATGTTAGGAAGGGAAAAGATTCTAAAGCTTAAAAGGAATCTCACATCTAATTTTGAAACATATTTTCCAATTATCAACAGGTTCTGAAAAACTGTTTTAAGAAAACACTAACAAAACTGGCATGCAGATTTTGAGCTAATAACCCTTTAAACAGATCATGAAAACCAAAAATAACCATTTTAAGAGTACTACCCTTCATATTACCAGTTTAAAATGGTAAAAATATTTCTCTCCTAGAACATAAAGGATCTCAGTGAAGAGAAGATAATGAAGAAGTGTCTCCCCAGCTCATGTTAATGAGCATTCAGGTAATGAAAGTCTATATAGTAAATTCGATTTTATCTACAGCTCCATAAAAATTACTTTTCTCAATCAAAGTTTCAAATTGAAGACACAATCTCTCAGTCAGGTCTTACTGTTAATGCAGTAAAGGTTTATGGGGTTTTTTTGTTCTGTTTTGGGGTGTTGTGTGTTCCCTCCCCCCTTCTTTCTATCACAAAAAGGATTATGTTCAACACAGCTTTTCACTGGGATCTTTGATCTGTTCTCCTAGTGGAGAATTCTGTAACTGCAGCATCTCCACTCTAAACCAGAAGCACTGCTCAGCAAAGAACTTTCCTTTTCAAGTTCATTCCACTCATCTTGTTACATTTTACTTCTCAATCTCTACATTTTTTCCACTTCCTTCTCTCCCAACATACCAATTTGACCTAAACATTTTGACAAAGGGTTTCATAATCTATTACACATATGGCAAAACAATTTCTCCTAATTTTTAATTTATTTTATTCAAAGTTCTTCCCCATCACCCTATTGTTCAATTATTGTGGAGGAAGAGAGAAAACAGCTGCAATACTCCACCAGCATGGAAATTAGACTGTTCTAAAAACTTCAAAAAGTGAGGAGTTTGGGATAGAAATGCGTAAGAAATGAAGCAAGATTTTAGTCCTCCCAAGCAAACACAAGGATGGAGTCTTGTGACAGTAAGGAAACGGACTACAATTTACACGCGTCTTTTCTTCCAAATGAGGTATAGACTAACCTGTAAGCACCATAAAAATTTGGAAAACTGTGGATGCCCCATCCCTGGAAGTGTTCAAGGCCAGGCTGGATCAGGCTTTGAGCAACCTGGTGTAGTGGAGGGTGTCCCTGCCCATGGCAGGGGGGTTGGAACTAGATGATCTTGGAGGTCCCTTCCAACCCAAACCATTCTATGATTCTACGAAAATGTGGTTTGTGACAAAAAGTATATTACAGCTTTATTAATGACTTCCACACGATAGAACAGCAAAAGATCATTATTGTATTGCTGAAAAGTCAAACATTCAATCAGCACAATTTCTGTATATGTATCCTTCAGTCTTTAATAACACGCTCACTTCTATTTCCTCCATTTTATATGAAGCTGTATCAAGATTGTACAGAGAAATGTAGTTTCCTCTCTAGGACCTTCCTGCTTCATCATTTTTTGTGTCCCTTCATTGATGGTTGGGTTTTTTTATGGTATAAGAAACATATAAGGAATGAGGTAAAGAACTGAAAGGGCATCAGGCATATCATCAAAGGCAACTGAATCTTGCCCTGCAGAAACAAAATTTAGTCCTTTCTGTTACCGACAAAATACAGAGGCAAATCATTTAAAACCAGACTTTTCATATGAATATTAATAGCACATTCTTTCCATCTTGAATGTAGGAGTTGAAACTGATGTACAAGTTGAAGTATTAAAACTTACAATTGAAACTACAACAGTATTTAAAAGCCCAACTAAGACAAAAGCCCTAAAAGTATGGTGGTAGAAGAGTGGCACAACACAGCTGCATAGTCGTGCAGCCCCTTCGCACTCAATCACAAGGAAAAGCCTGCTGCATGGTGTCCATTTCACAGCAGGTTCAACAGCACTTTGCAGATGCAATTGGTTGGCCAAACAACTGAGTGGTACGCAAGGGGTAAGGAGCCAGAGAAAGGCAAACACTGCAAACACGATTAAGCAATGTTTCAAGACACAAAGGATCCTGTAACAGAAAGCATCTTTTGATTTGTTTAATCAAAATTAATAGTCCTGGAACAAACAAACCTGACACAGTGCGTACATACCAAGACAGACAAAGTGTCTGTCAAATACTCTACGAGTTAAGAAAAAATAACAGTACTAATATTTATTTTAACATGTCTACCACCAAAAAAAACTAAGAAGCTGCCCAGTGATTCAAGTAGATTTCTTCAGTATCCTACGGTTCGAATACTACAAAGCGTTCCTTAACTTTTCTTGGAGACACTAGCTCATAGGCATGATGTGTAAGTGGTAAGAAGCTTTTCTTATATCAGTATATGCATCAAATCTGAGAAATATTACACCGCAGAACCCTGTTTCCCCATTTAGCTGCATATTTGACAGCCCAACTAGATTTTCTACAATTGCAATTGAGCGAGTTTTTTTATCTTAACCAACCCGCAAATTCATTGCAAAATCATGTTTAAGATTATCCACGTTTATCTACTCAATTTCTAAAAGGGAAGAAGAAAAGCTATCAGGGTTCTTGTTGGAAGTGCTGACAGTTTAAGCCTTCACAGGATAAATACAGGAACTCCACAGATTTGGATATTATTTGGGGAAAATTTTAGAAAAAGTGGTAAATATTGAAAGGGAGGGAATACTTTCCTTTGTCTTTATATGCAATTAATAACAACTTTCATTTCCCTCTCTGAAGATAAGATAGTCTCTCAATTTTTAAGGATCTAATATGAACTTTCAGAAAAAGCAGTATTTAATTTTACACAGAAGCAGCAACAGAAGGCCTCAGAATTACAGCCCCACCCTTCTAAATTCTGATGAGAATTAACATCAGGTCATTTTGAAAGGAGAAATATTTTTCAAAAATGTTAGAAAAGAGCAGGAGGAGAAAGGCAAAGATACAGAACTTGACTGGGCAGGGCTAGAAGTCAGTCCTTCATCCTGATCTCTATAGTCCAGTTGTTATTACTTCCATCTTAGAACAGAACAGGATTTAAAGCAAAACATAAACAAGGAGCCCAAATGAACTGAGCATTATCTCTGATATATATGTACATACACAGAAATACTCCAAAATGATGTTCAGAGAACTCCACATTCATCTCAGTTCTCAATCTTTACATTAAGCCTAATTAATCTAATTTTAAGAATACAGGAAATTAATAATGCTAATGATTGTCTTCTGGGTCAGCTCATGTTCTATAATGCTCCATCTTCAACAGCCAGCAGAAGAGATCACACATCCTGGGTAAAGTATCATTCAAAATTCTATATTCAAACTAACTGATTGTAACGTGGTTTTCTATAACTCAGAGTAAGACACATCATGAACTGCAGTATTTCGTGGATATGATTCGTAAGGTGCAAAACATACAAAACAACATAATTCCGTCAGGTTAACTGAAAACCCACTAAACATCTAGAGTCATGTACCAGTAGTCTGGTACGTCTCGGAAATAAATAGAGCAATTACTTTTCACTAGGAATGTAAGTAAGTGCATTATTCTGAAAGGTGAGCGAAAGCAAACTAGTTTTTGAGGCAATATGCTAAAAAACAGTCAGAAGATAAGCTATGTCATCCTACTCCGAAAGACAGAATCCCTACCAGTATTTTAGCCAATATGCCATCATCACTTGATTCCATGGTAACCACTGCTTTGTCTGTTTCAATTTCACACAGTGCATCTCCAGCATTCACTGTTTCACCTGCAAAACAGAACAGAACTTAAGAATACTTAGCCTAAACTTCCTTCCATATCTATTTAACCAAGGAAGACAGATATTTATCCATATAACGCATTCATTTTACATTCTTTAATATATTCTATAGCCAGTTGATCTCCCACTGTTATTTATGATATAGTATCTTTCATTTCCAAATAAAAACACTAAGATTCTGAGACACAAACTACTATAGCAGAACATTAACATATTCCAAATGCTGATGTTTACAGTAGGTTTTCCAAGAGGACGTACACACAAAATAAAATTTATTTCCGCAACACCATCACTCAGTAACACTGCTATGAATAAAATCCTGAGCCTTCCATATTCATTACTAACTGTAAGTCAAAGGAAGGTATTTAAAACTGTAATTTTTTAAGACAATGGTCACAGGCAAAAACATCTTAAAGTGTCATAGTTCTCTAGTTTGTATGTACACTATCAAAGATATTAAAATAAAAACCTCAGGAACATTAACCTCACTGGAAGTCATGTATACAACCTTGTTTCGTCAATCTCCTATATAGTTTAAAAAGCTATTTCAGAAACATACTTCATGAAATAAAAATATGTACGAGTGTTAGAAATTGCTTTCGCTACGTTACACAAATCTATGATTAATTCTGAAGTATAATCTTCCTTTGTTTTTGCAGAACATCTATACCTGTTGATGCATGATAAAGATATTATTGATCTGGATTCTTTCAACAGACCAATACTGACTAGAAGGCCAACATTAAAATTGAAATTACATTGAAAAACTTTGAGGTAGTTTTCACCTCCAACAAAACATGATAACACTTTCCTCACAGAGCACTGAAAAGTAGGGACAATACATACAAGCCTAACGCATGACTACAACTTTTTATATTAAGTAAAATTTTAATATTTCCCCAGTACCAGAAATGCTGCAACATGATTATCTATCTAAGCATTTAATTTAATTCCTGATATCACACTCTGTTGTACTTACAAGCAATTTTAAGAAGAGTATTTCACAGCAGCATTCAAAAATCTCATGTGTGTTCCAGTATCCAAGGGCAATAGAAAGGATCAGTTATTTTAATTAGAGAGTTCAACATTTGTGAGAGCTCTTAATTGATGCCCTTTGATGTCAATTACAAATCCACTTTTCCAGTAGACAGAATTGGAAAGAACCCCTTTGCAGAGCCTATCTTTGCTCTTACGCTCTCTAACGAGAGCAGTATTTGCAACACAAGATGCCTGAAAGGCAACTCTGCAAGATTATATACAATGCCCTTCGAAAATCTTGGGTGGGGTGTGGGGTTTGGTTTTTTGTTTTGTTGTGTTTTTTTTTTTTTTTTAACAATTAAGTTCTTATATCTAGGCTGAGTGATTAGGGTCTGTACTGAAGTTGAGTTTCCCTCCAGGAAATCACATCCAACTGGCATTCAATGGCCTACGTTCTCTGTTCAGTTACTGACCGACAAGTATCCAGATCACAAGATACAAACTGCATTCCTGGATGGACTCTTTGCAAATCAAACCAAAGTTGGCTGGGCACCGCGACTGAGGCCCCTGGAGGTGACGTCTCAGAAGGTGGCAGTTACACACAGGAGGAAATCGTCAGTTACATTGCTTATTCTGTTTCCTGTCCACAATAACAAGAGGATTTCAGTCTCCTGGGCTGTCAATCATCTTTCATCAACATTAAATTAATACATAATACAAACTGTGTTTCTAAAAGCTTGTATTATTTTTATGAGAACAACTTTACTACCCCCAGGAATCAATATGAAACTGCATTAACAATAGGAAGGAAATATTAAAGCTGTTAATTAAATTTGGCATTTTTCCTTCTGCAGCACTGAAATCATCTGTCCATCCTGTGAAAGCATAAAATGAAAACATTTGATATTTACACAAAGAGCAGAAAAATTATCAAAATAGTATTTTACTGACCCCTACTTATTATACAGTGTGAAAAACGTTTCACATGCATTTGTCAGCTTTCTTCTGTCAATTGCTTTAAAATATTTATTTTCTTGGATATGAGATTATCAAACATTTATATTCAGTAATGCCACTACATTTGGATTGCCAGCTCACTGAAGGATTACGTATAGTTTTGAGTATCCTTTGAGGACAAAAAGAATATAAGCAATAAATCACTTTTATTTTTTCTTCAAAATTTATCTTGACATTTTTTACTGTTTATGGTTTTTATTTTTCAGACTGTCAGAGGAAAAAAATCCATGATAATTATGTTCACACATGTGCCAAATAAGACAATATACTATTGTCATGGTTTTAGGCCGAACCAGCAACTAAACTCCACACAGCCAGTCTCTCACTCCAGTAAAGTGGAGAGGAGAAAAATATAATAAAAGGACTGAGGGTCGAGACAAGAACAGAGGGAGCACCCACCAACCATGGTCCCAGTCAAAACAGACTCGGCTTTCTTAAAGAAAAACAATTTATTAACAGTTATTTAAAAGAATAAAGACAAGCAAAACCAGTTACTTAAGAGGATAAAAAGAAAACAAGGCCAGATCTTAAAACAACACCTCTCCACCCCCCCTTCCTTTTCTTCCCGGCTCTACCTCCTCCCCGCAGCAGCGCAGGGGGACAGGGAATGGGGGAGTGCAGGTCAGTTCATTCCATGCTCTTACTGCTACTTCTTTCTTAAAGGAGAAGGAGTCTTTACACCATTTTCCCGTGCTCCAGTGGATCCCCTATTCACAAGGAAAAATCCACAGACTTCTCCAGCATGAGTCCTACCCGCAGGATGCAATCCTTCCCCATCGGATTGCTCCGGTGCAGGCTTTACCACAGTCTCAGATTCTTAGGGAGGTGTTGCCACTCGCTCCAGCGTGGGTCATCACACAGACTCTAAATGCATCTCTACCTGTGCCCATGCTTCACAACTGTCCTTAGGCTCAGGCATCTCTGAATGCATCTCCTCTGAACAAAACACCTCCCCACCAACGGAGGTCGTCCCACGGACTCTAGATGCATACCGTACTCAGGCCCAGGCATCTTTTCTCACACGTGGGTTCTCCACGGGCTGCGAGTGGATCTCTGCTCCCCCGAGACCGAGACCGCCATGGCTGCAAGGGGGCTGCTTGCTGTCTCGCCACCGGTTGCAGGGGAAACTCGGCTCCGGCACACCTCAGTCCCGTTCCACCTTCACTGACCTGGTATCGGTGTAGCCGTATCTCTCAGATCTCTGTCCTCTCTGGGTCAACTCGGCCCGGTGGGCACCCCAGGAGCAGGGTGCTCCCTGAGTTCCCCAAGCGGCTCCGCCATGGCCATCCTCAGCGGGTGGCGCCGGCCCGGCGCGGGCCACCACCTGGCCAGGCGCCGGGGAGCGGGGGCAGCGCCCTCCTCCCCTCTCCTCATTCCTGGGCAAAAGGCACACCTTTCTGGTTCCTTTGTCCCAACGTAAATAGGGCAATTCGCAGAGGCCCCGACTGGCTCAAACCCCGAGGGGGATGGGAGTCCAATCTGGTGGCCAGCTCCTGCAACCAGAACCTCCCCCCCACATCAAACCATGACATCTACATTCAGTTTTGGTCTTGTTTCTAAATAGAAAGTAGAGTAATAAAAATCCTAAACCAGTTTTCTCTCAAAGTCCAACCATCAATTAAGATATAATTCAATTAAAACAGGTATGGAGATTTTTTTTCCCTTTTGTGTTGGTGCAGAAGCATAGTGGAAAGACTGAGAAAAAGCAGTGTATATGTGTTGCATCCTAAGACCTTCTAATGTGGAAAACTGATTCATTCACGTTGAATTCAACTCTCCTACTTTCTCTTGCAATTCTGAATGCTATACTTACTGTAAAACAGACTACTGTTGGCTTTTAATGTCGTACAGTTATTGACAACTAATGAATAGAAAAAGGACTTTTCCTCTACATAATCTCGACTTGATCTAACTGAAACTTCAAGAACATTGGTGTAATTACTTTTTACAGACAGACTGCCATATTGTTCCTAGTAAATTCCGCAGAAATTCTTACTAGAAATTTCACAAGCAAAAGGTCCTGTCCGCTACTGGAGCGACAAGTCACCTTCCAGCTACCTCTCAAAATGTATTCAAAATGTATAAAAGCCAAGTACTCCACAGTAACACAACGATGGAGGCTCTATCAACACTTAGATGCTGGGTAAGTCAAAGGAAACAGCTAATCTAGACAGAATAGTTAAAATACACATTTAACCCCAAAAATTGTGTCAAAGGAAATCTCTAAGAGATTTCTGTTCTCCAGATGAGTTCATCTCTAACAAATCTGTGTCTGAGAATAAGATATATCCTTACAGTTATCAAAAACTCTGCAATGCATCCTATAGCAACGGACAACTGCCACCTGGAATCCAAAACTACAGTCAAAATCCAGTAAATGGACAGGGGAAAGGGTAGGAGGAGAGGGAAGAATGGTCTCCTGACAGAACAGGGACTGCCAATTCTTCTACGGATCATTTTTCATTTACATACAACCTATGTGAAGACACAACATACACAGACTGTTTATCTAGCTGCTCCAACATATTTTAATAGAAGTACATTACTTTTCAGTTGTCAGAGTGCAGAGAATCTAAAATAACCAAGGTTGTTGAGGCTTTTTTGGGAGGAGTAGTTTAGTTTATGTTGTTGGCTTTTTTTGAAAGATTTCCCCCTTTGGAATTTGGGTTACAAAAGTAATTTAAATTTTCTATCAGTTTTAATTGTAGACTATAATTCAAATATTAATAAAAGTAAGCCCTGAATAGCAACTATAAAAATACTGTATCTCTCATGTTATTTCGTAACACAGCAGAATAATGAAACAGAGACCTTCGACCAAAGCCGAAGGTTCTCAAACTTCCAAAGTTACTAATCAGCACGACAACACTGGGAGTTAAAAACGATGTACACACTCACACCCTGGAAAAGGCTAAAGGAAATTTTTTCAAAAATACGATGAATGCAACCTTTTGGAAGACAACTACAGGAAAAATGTTTCAAGAACCAAAAACTGTAAAGTGAGGATTGTTCAAGAAGACAGGAGCCATATACCAAACACTTTGCTTCAAAATACTAAAGTACAACCAGAAAGAAAGATCTTACTCTTACAACCAATTGAGAAGAGGGCTACAAAAACATCAGAGGGCTGTAACACCTCTCCTATGAGGAAATGCCAAGAGAGCTAGGGTTGCTCAGCCTGGAGAAGTGTCTTGGTTTCAGCTGGGACACAGTTAGTTTTCTTTTTAGTAGCTGGAATAACACTGTGGTTTTGATTAGTATGGGATTTTTAATGGGAAGAATATTGATAGCACACTGATGTTTATAGTTGGTGCTGAGACATCACAGACTTTTCAGCTTCCTGTGTTTTGCCAGCGCGCAGGACAAAACAGGCTCAGAGGGTACATAGCCAGAACAAAGGACCCACGGCTTCTAGCTTATGATTTGAACTTAGATTTAGGATTGAGGGCCAGATTGGCCAATGAAATATTCCATATTGTGCAATATCATGCTTAGTATATAGATGAGAGTTGCCCAGAAGTTTGATCTCTCTATTGGACTCTCAGAGTTCTATTTTTCTCTCACTCTTTTTTCAGGCCTCTCCCTCTCCCAGGATTGTGGTTTTGGGATCGCTTGACGGGACAGGACGGGCACTGCTCACCAGGTGGCGAGCAATTACACTGTGCATCATTTGACTGTATATATTATTCTACTTTTTAATTATTATTGATTTTATTTCAATTATTAAATTGTTTCTATTTCAACCCACGAGTCTCCTTCCCTTTCCCCTTCAATTCTCCTTCCCATTCCCCGCCGTGGGGTACAGTGAGTGAGCAGCTGCGTGTTTAGTTGCTGGTCAGGTTAAACCACAGCATGAAGAGAAGGCTCCAGGGAGACCTTATTGCAGCCTTTCAGTATTTAAAAGGGGCTTAAAAGAAAGATGAGGACAAACTTTCTAGCAGGGCCTATAGTGATAGGACAAGGGGTAACGGTTTTAAACTAAAAGAGGGTAGATTTAGACTAGATATAAGGAGAAATTTTTTACGAGGGTGGTGAAACGCTGCAACAGGTTGTCCAGAGAGGTGGTGGATGCCCCATCCCTGGAAACTTTCAAGGTCAGGTTGGACGGGGCTCTGAGAAGCTTGATCTAGTTGAAGATGTCCCTCCTTACTGCCAGGGGGTTGGACTAGATGGCCTTTGAAGGTCTCTTCCAATCCAAACTATTCTGTGATAGAGCTGATGAATTACAACAAATGTGTCCATAGAAAATGCTATCTTACCTTCCTTTTTTAACCATTTCACAATGTTTCCTTCTTCCATTGTAGGAGAAAGTGCAGGCATGAGAACTTTAATACCAGGCGTACCTGTAAAACAAGCATATGATTATCTAGACTAAATACTTCTTCAGTATAATTATTTTCTGTTAACTGCTTAACAGAAATGAAACTAAAAGGGCATGAATCTGACAGAGTTGAGCAAAAGATTTACTATGATGCTCATTTTTTAAGCTTACAAACAAGGATGCACTCCCAAGAACACCATGGAAAACAAGGCACTTTAAGCAAAACCTTGGTTACAATGCTGTGTCACAGCCTCTCATTTACTCCAGGACAAAAGTGAACGAGATGAGTCTCCAAGACTTGTCCTCTCATTTCCCACTTGCTTGGCGGGAAAGGAAGTCTGAACATTAGACTTGTCTGATGTAAGCAATCCCAGAGGAGATAACAAACACACATCACCTGCACATCTGTCTCAGTCCTCAAGAGAGGCCAAAACATTTGCAACCACAAGAAATTGGGGGAGAGGTACTGATATGTTCCCTGCTGATGAGTCATAATGTGCTACAGAGGATAGTATAACTCCACCCACAAATTCCTCAGTGGTATTTACGATAGTTTTTCTTCCCAGTTATGCAATATGTCAGCAGTATGATTAGGAACGTATGACCAGAGAACCAGGCAGGCAGGTATCTTCTCTTCTGTCTCAGAGTACTTAGCCATCCTCGGGGTTCTAGTCATGGGTATGCAAGTGTGAAGACACTGTGGGGTGTAAATGTGCAAGACATACCTAGCCAAGTGTTAGAATCCTTTCTGACTCTTAACCAAAGGCTAGATACTCATATCTTGACCATGACCTCTGTCTTAGTGCAACAGTAAGAGCACACCAAGGCAAAGCGTGTAATCCCATTTTTAAATTTTTAGCTTTTAAACCAATAAAGCCTCCCTGATCCTAGTACTCCATATACTGATGATCCACCTGTTTCACAATAAAATTTTCCAATGTTTATTTATCCTTTCTACATCTACTTTGCAGATTGAAATTGCCTAATTTCAAGTTTCAGTGACTGGATCTCATGTTTCTGTTAAAAAGCTTGAAAGATTTCTCATTACAGAGATCCTTCTCACAGCTAAGTGTCTATTTACAGAGACTAGGTAAATTCTTAGCCATTTCTTTCCTTTAGTAAGCCAAATAAAAAGTCCAATGTATTTAGGCAACACAACACCACAATCTCTGGTCCTGCAACACTAGACACGGCCAGCTAGCAGATCGCTTCAGTCTGCCAACTGATTGAATCTGCTTAGTAAACCCATGCACAGAGAGAAGTGGCAATGTGCAGCAGCAAGCTACACGCCATGTAAGTGGGATTCTTATGCGGACAGGGCTCACAACTCAGCACATTCCTTGGCTTCATAGCACACTGCATCTCTTGTAATTTGATCCAGAGTATCAAAGTAGTATTCTGACAAGGCAGGGACTGTGAGAATGTAGAACCGCCCACTGTAGGAGATCAGGTTCGAGACCATCTAAAGAACCTGAAGGTGGACAAGTCCATGGGACCAGATAAGGTACATCTGCGGGTCCTGAGGGAATTGGCAGATGTAGTTGCTAAGTCACTATCCATCATATTTCAGAAGACATGGCAATCTGGTGAAGTTCCCACTGACTGGAAAAGGGGAAACATAGGCCCCATTTTTAAAAAGGGGAAAAAAGAAGACTCAGGGAACTACAGGCCAGTCAGTCTCACCTCTGTGCCTGGCAAGATCATGGAGCAGATCCTCCTGGCGACTATGCTAATGCACACAGAAAACAAGGAGGTGATTGGTGACAGTCAGCATGGCTTCACTAAGGGCAAATCCTGCCTGACTAACTTGGTGGCCTTCTATGATGAGGTTACAGCATTGATGGATAGGGGAAGAGAAACTGACATCGTCTACCTGGACTTATCCAACGCATTTGATACTGTCCCACATGACATCCTTGTTTCTAAACAGTAAAGACATGGTTTTGATGGATGGACCACTCAGTGGATAAGGAATTGGCTGGATGGTCGCAATCAAAGAGTTGTGGTCAACAGTTCAATGTCCACGTGGAGGCCTGTGACGAGTGGTGTTCCTCAGGG